ATTTGTTTAAAAAACTTACTGTGTTTCATCCTCTAACATGCCTCTAACATGTTTTCATCCTCTAACATGCCTCAGTCAACACGTAACAGAAATGATCATTTGCAGTTGAGGCAGGTGTGAGCTTAGTACTGATATCTGTATCTGTTAAAAGCTGTGTTAAAGGAGAATTACACGATTTTTAAGCACAATTTCATCATTAAGATGCAAAAAAGTAGTTTGATACAAAATGTTCCATTGTGGAAAAACTTAGAGTCAGAGTTGTTCACAGTGGCAGTGACAAGAACAAGACGATTGAAGAGTTCAATGCCTCTAATCTCTCTCAGAGAATTATTACATGAAATGATTATTAATAAGAGCTGAACTCTATTAGAGCATGTTTACCACATGCCTTTATGCTATAAATTGTAGGGCTCTGAGACTTGCAGTATTACACATTAAAGCACTGTGAAGAAGTAAATTCATAAATATTGATACAGTGTTGGTGATATTGCCATATCGATATTTTGAACACAGCTGTAATGGCAAATAACATTAATAATTGAAAGAACAAAGCGCAGATATTTGAGTACTCTAACCCAGCTTTACCTAAACATTCTGCTCTTCTGTATTACAAAAAATACTTCATGAAATATATTTGTTTGAAATACCCACCAAATCGAAACATCTGTCTTACATTCATAGTTTTATTTAAAAAATTAAAACTTGAGTCTCACCAGTTGCTCAGCTTCAAATGATTTCTGATGAGAAACATCTAAAACAAAACAGACACATGAGGTAAATGCAGCAAAACAATAACAGCAAAGCATAACAATGAAAAACACAAAACTGGTCATTTTATATTTCTAATAAATGTAGCCGAGTAAAACATTAGATTATTAATATAAAGCACAAATAATACATTTTAAAAATACTCTAGAAAGTACAAATCCACCAAGATGTTACTGGAGTAAATGTAACTGAGCAAATTAAAATCATTACCACCCTCTCTGAACTACACAGACTGACGGACTGTGCTCAGTTTTATTGTTGTATTGTTCAGTGTGCTAACCTTGCTGCACTGTGATCAATACTAGATTTATTTCTGAGGCAGCCTTTCATTTGGAGCGGGTGCTAAGCGACATCTGACGCAGCCGCGAGGCATAAACAGACAAGCCGCTCAGCCGCTAGCTAGCTAGCTAACTACATACGCTAACCTAACGCTGGTGTCTTCACTCGGCAGATCAACCCAGAAATACAGAAATAAAAGTTTACTCCAGCTGACTGTTAGTGAGGCTGCTCATCTCATTTTGTCACTACTCACCTTTTAAAAGCAGATTCTGACCGTTGCAGTCGCCACTCTACTCGGTCCAGTCAGCTAGTTAGCCAACTACGCAGCTGAAAATCCTCCTTTTTGGGAGCTGAAAGCGTCACCCGGCAGGCGGCGCTGTCTTAATAGGGAATGTAAGAGACGGTCTTATCGAGGTTTAACACTCACTAAACAAACTCGATAAGACTGCCCGCGTTAGCGACGCGAGTCAGTCACTCACTGTAAACGGCTGTAACGGTCGCGTTTGGCTTTAAAAGGAGGAACGGCGGAGAGCGCTCGCGCTTCAAAACCGAACGTCCAAGCGGCGGAGTCTCGCGCTCTAATTGGTCTGAAACTCCCGCCAGTCTTTTGTTTGTCCTCCTATAGAGCTTTTTTTTTTGGTTCGCGCCTCTGCTGTACTGAATGAACTGTGCTGTTTTGTTTTTGTTTGTTTGTTTGTTTGTTTTAATCTGGACACGGAGTAGAAAACTGCAAACTCTTGAAATACATGAGACAGCAGTACAGCATTATTATACAGCATCACTGGAGGCCATGTCTTAATATATTAAAGTCAAAGTATGAAGTTGGACATTTAAACAAAAATCTGTTTATGATGTAATTTTACGTGGTGAAACAATATAGATCTTTATATTACTACTCAAATACATTTGTTTATTATTGTTCGTGTTTTCCAAATACCTGGAGATAATAATTTTGAAAGTTTTACATGGTATATAAAAAAAGTTTGTTTTCTTTTTCTGTTGGGCCAAATTAAAAGTCCTAATGGTCTAACTGTGGGCAGCCCTGATCTGATTAAGAAAATAAGCAGAAGTGTAGATGTTGAAGAGAGGGAACCAAGTGCTTTTTCTGCATTATGTTTTGGTGGTGTGTGATCTCTCAAGTACACAGGTTAGCTGTTAAGTACACTTACTTCCTATTAGTTCAAAGTTGTTTTATCTTGGTTCCTAGCTTGTTGTCTCTGGTTACAATTGTACATTTGAAAATAGATCAATGTTTTAATCATAGCATGTTTTCTGCAAATTAGCAAAAGGCTGTGACTGACTGTGATTATCTCCATTGGTAAATGTTACAAATTAAAAGTTATTCTACCATAAACTTCAATGATATAAAGAAATGAGTTTAAACATTTTAAGGTAAGGTAAATGGTTTAAGAATTGATTTTTTCCTTTTGCTCTTTTGCTGCTGTAAACACATTTCTGCAATAATCAAAAAACAAAACATACAAAAAAAAAAAAGAATCACCAAAGTACAGCAAGAAAAACCTTAGTGAATGCTCTTTTAGTAAAATCACACAAAAACCATAAGATTACAGTAGGCTGTTTCTTGAGGACATACTTGTTATATTCTCATTATATTTTACATTAGGCAGTGCTGTGGAAATCCTGGTAATCCTTAATTGTAATTTTGTATTGTAAGTTTGGCAGTACCACAGGAATACCACATTCATATCACAGGACTTTTTGTAATGGACTACTCTTTGGACTCAACTGAACTGTCTTAAGACACAACATCTCTGTGTCTTAAGACAAAGTGATGTCTTAAGTCATGCCTCATCTTCAAGACACACTAAATAATTACTTCTTTGTCTTAAGACGTTAACTTTCATGTCTCAAGAAAAAGACAGTGTCTTCACTCATATGTCTTAAGACGTTCTTGAGATGTCTTGGCATAAGAAAATGTCTCAAGACATCTTATAAATACTGTCAAGACATCTTAAGACACAGTGACAGCTGGGTATGTTTATTTACTATCTCATTAGTGATTAATTGGGTTATTTTGTGAATTTGTGGTCTTTATTTCTTTTCCTAGTTTCTGTTGGGTTTTGAGTATTTATTCTATGCAATTTATATGAATTGATATTCAAGTATTTAAATTGCTAATATTTTTGTATTAATAAATCGAACGCCAGAGCTGGGTGTCCCCTGGTCCTGGGGCCGGTAACACATGCGTGAAAACGTACGGCTGTGCGGCTGCTGCCAGAGCCGGTTCGTGAGGAGCCTGGCCGGTTCCTATTTCCCCTGTTATCAAAAACATGACTGCAAAACACCAGAGGGCGCCCGCGAGCGAGTCCTCAATGAATGGGAGTGAAAGGAGCTCAATGGCTAAAAACAACAAGTAAAAATAGTTTCTAATCACTCGCCCAGAACTTTCCTTTAATTCTAGAAAGTAGAAGGATGTATTTCATTCACGCTTACATTACTGCTACTGAGAGCTGGTTGGTTGCTAAGCGTCATAAAAGTACACAAGGCGCCGTTTTAAACTCCTGTAACTCGAGTTTAAAAGCTCTTAAAAATATAACAGCGGTGTTAAAATGTTTTATGCTATTCAGTGTTCAGGAAATGAATGTATCCCTTTACATTAAAAGTGTTTAAGCATTTATAAATTAAGATTTTGCTCAAATGCTCCATCTTAACCTATTCATTTTGGACTCAAGTACTAATGGAATGAAAATGAAATGACTCGCAAACGGAGGAAAAAAAAAAACAGGAGTGTTTGGAAGACGGGTAGAAAACAACGTCCTGGCCTGTCTGGGTATGGAGCGTATTTTAAAAGGCAAGGCAAGTTGATTTATGTAGCACCTTTCATACACTGCTGTCATTCAAAGTGCTTTACGAATGAGAAAATACAGAGCTGTAAGGTTTACAGGTATGGCTGTGTGTGTGTTTGAGTGAGTGATGGTAGGAATGCATCTTTTATTTTGTTATATTTTATATTTATTTTATTTTATTCACTACATGTACATGTTTGTCTGGTACTGTGCACGGTGAGCTCCTGTAACCAAAACCAAATTCCTTGTATGCGTAAGCATACCTGGCCAATGAAGCTTGATTCTGATTCTGAATCAGAGTCAGAAAATAGTTTTTTTTTTTTCAAAAGTAAACCAGAATGCATAAAAACATGACTAAAACATGAGTAAAACAATCCTCATTTAAAACAATTAGGATTGTAAATAAATCTCACGCTGAAAAGCTGCCGACAACGGTTGCCACGCAGTGATTGGAGGGCTGATAAAATAGGATGCAGTGTTCAGTATATGCTGATGCCACATACAGTACACAGTAGTCTACCTCGACCACAGACAGGGTCACGAGACCTACTCATTTCACCGGTGTTAATTTACAAAAGAAAAGAAACGAAAAAATGCTCAATCAGAGTCGGCTCACTGTAGAGCCGACTCAAAGAGCCGACTCAAAGAACCGATTCGAACACGACACATCACTATCGCTGGCGTAAGTAACCGCTCGGAAGGAACAGAAGCCACATGGCCGACATAGAGAACACATTAACACGTTTAAATGGAAAAATCGAGCTCAAACGGGAAACACAGTTTACCTCAGCATCATCAGACTCAAAGACAGCAGTAACGTAACGTACTGGAGTAAAATAATTTCTTTAAATGTGGCGAAATAAAAGTCCCAGTCGTCAGAAATAAAAGCCAAAATAAGGTATAAATGCTAGGAGAAAATACCTAACAGCGGTAAGAAAGTTATGTGGACAGCACTGCGAAGAGGACGCGAAGTTGGCTTTTCTGCTCACCAGCTGGTGAATGATAAGCTGACTTCGGCCTCGTTCGGTGAGATTTCTCTCTCATTCAGGCTCAGTGCGATTGCCAAGCGTCACACCTCACATGGAAAACACACAGAACAAGCTAAAGGCCCGTAAAACGCAGACTGAATTGAAATTTCAGTCTTACCTTTGGACACGGAGGCAGAGTGTAGGAGAGATTAACTACAGCAGCGAGAGGCTGACAGACTGTGTTGCTCAGAACCGCACGGCTGATGAAACAGCCTCACCTAATCACTGAGCGTTCTCCTATGAACATTAGACAACGTGTCAAAATAAAAGTCTGATGCGCTGGTTCACTGTATGGACAAAAGTATGTGGACACCTGGCATATGAGCTTGTTGGACATCCCATTCCAAAACAAAGACGTTAATATAACGTTGCCCCCATTTTAATATAAAGTAATATAATATATAACATTAATACACTATATCGCCAAAAGTATTCGCTCGTCTGCCTTCACACGCATATGAACTTGAGTGACATCCCGTTCTTAATCCACAGGGTTCAATATGATGTCGGCCCACCCTTTGCAGCTATAACAGCTTCAACTCTTCTGGGAAGGCTTTCCACAAGGTTTAGGAGTGTGTTTATGGGAATTTTTGACCGTTCTTCCTGAAGCGCATTCGTGAGGTCAGACACTGATGTTGGACGAGAAGGCCTGGCTCGCAGTCTCCGCTCTAATTCATCCCAAAGGTGTTCTATCAAGTTGAGGTCAGGAGTCTGTGCAGGCCAGTCAAGTTCTTCCACACCAAACTTACTCATCCATGTCTTTATGGACCTTGCTTTGTGCACTGGTGCGCAGTCGTGTTGGAACAGGAAGGCGCCGTCCCCAAACTGTTCCCACAAAGTTGGGAGCATGAAATTGTCCAAAATCTCTTGGTCTGCTGAAGCATTAAGAGTTCCTTTCACTGGAACTAAGGGGCCGAGCCTAACTCCTGAAAAACACCCCCGCACCATAATCCCCCTCCACCAAACTTTACCCTTGGAACAATGCAGTCAGACAAGTACCGTCTCCTGGCAACCGCCGAACCCAGACTCATCCATCGGATTGCCAGACGGAGAAGCGTGATTCATCACTCCAGAGAACACGTCTCCACTGCTCTAGAGTCCAGTGTTCGCGCTTTACACCACTGCATTCGGCGCTTTGCAATGCGCTCTGTCATTTTACGTGGCCGACCACTTCGGGGCTGAGTTGCTGTCGCTCCCAATCACTTCCACTTTGTTATAATACCACTGACAGTTGACTGTGGAATATTTAGTAGGGACTAAATTTCACGACTGGACTTGTTGCACAGGTGGCATCCTATCACGGTACCACTCTGGAGTTCACTGAGCTCCTGAGAGCGACCCATTCTTTCACTAATGTTTGTAGAAGCAGTCTGCAGGCCTAGGTGCCTAGTTTTATACACCTGTGGCCATGGAAGTGATTGGAACACCTGAATTCAATGATTTGGATGGTTGAGTGAATACTTTTGGTGTGTATAGTGTATAAAGTTGCCCCTCATCTCCTCCCCCATCACCCTGAACACCTGCGTGCGACAAGGCTGTGTGCTGATCAGAGGTGACGATGAGACAGCCTACAGTGGCGAGATGCAGCACCTGGCTGCATGGTGTGATGACAGCAACCGGGCCCTCAACACCCCGAAAACCAAGGAGATCATAGTAGACTTTAGGAGGGGTAGGAGCCAGGCACACTCCCCCATCAACATCAACAGAGCTGAGGTAGGCCGCGTGTCTGACTTCAAGTTCCTTGGCATTCACATCTCAGATGATCTCACTTGGTCCCCTAACTCCATCATGGTCAAAAAGGCGCAACAGTGTCTTTACTTCCTACGGAGCCTCAAGAAAGCCCACCTGGGTCCCAGGATACTGGTGAACTTTTACCGCTGTACCATAGAGAGCATACTCACACTCAGGGTTGGGATAGCTACTGAAAAATTCGCTACTTTGTAGCTACTTTCTCAAAATGTGTACCTAGCTACAATTTAGCTACTTTTCCAAAAAATGTAGTGCACTACTTTTTATCTACTTTCAAAGCATGATTGTCAGAATGTTTGTGAATCTCCACCTGACACACCAAACAAGCCCAACTGATATTGTGAACAAGACACTGCATTTAATCCTGTGCCAGAAAGAAACAATACAATTGAAAAGCTGCAACTATACAAAAAGATCACCAAAAAGTTTAAGTGTAACCAACAATCAAACTTACACAACTGAAGACCTGATATCCAACAAACAAATTAAAACTAAGTAAAGGCAAAGTCAGTCATTCACTGTCAGGCAAATCACTGTCAACTGTTGAAATAAAACTACTCCAATTTAAACATTTCAGCAAGATACAGACATTCACAGTCCTTTCAGCAACTTCAGCAACACTTTAGCCTTAAAATTCTCATCAGTGACCCTGACTCTGTGCAGTACTGTTAGTAATAGTCTATTAGGAAAATGTTTTTTCCACTTTAGCTAAGGCAGCGGTCGGCAACACGCAGCTCTTTAACTGGCCTGTTGCGGCTCCATGGCAGAACCAGATTTCAAAGTAAATTAACATAATTCTCCTTTGCTGTAAGATAAAGCTCTGCTGCTCATTATAACACATAGCTCTAACACAGTTTTCACAATAAATGGTCTTAAATGCTGGAGTTAGCACACAACTGCTAATTCACCAACCTTTAATGCTGAAGATTTACTGTGCTAAGCATTCCAGGGGGTAATGTTCTTCTGGCATCCTCCAAACCCAGATTCGTCCAGCAGACTGACAGCTAGTGAAGTGTGGTTCATCACTCCAGAGAACACATTTACACTGCTCCAAAGTCCAGTGGCGGTGTGCTTTACATCACATAGTGATCTTAGGCTTGTGTGCAGCAGCTCAGCCACAGAAACCCATTTCATGAAGCTTCTGACACACACTTCTTGTGCTGATATTGCTTGCAAAGGCAGGCTGGAACTCTGTAGTGAGTGATGCAACAGATGATAGGTGATTTTTACATGCTATGCACTACCGCACTTACAGTTGACTGGGGCAGATCTAGCAGGACAGTTTCACAAACTGACTTGTGGCAAAGCTGGCATCCTACGAAAGCGGCACATTTCAAGCCACTAAGGTTTTCAGTACGACCCATTCTACTGCCAGTGTTTGTCTATGGAGATTTCATAGCCATGTGCCTGATTTTATACCTGTTAACAATGGGCATGTATGAAACACCTGAATTCCATTATTAAGAGGGGTGTCCACATACTCTTAGTATATATTAAGGAAAAACTAACATTTTAAAAGTTTTTAAATTTTTATAGCATTGCCAAATGGCTTCTTTCAAAACAAAAGTCCCTGTTTAAAATAAAAGCAATTGCTTTTTTGAAATCAAAGCTGGCAATAAACATATGTTAAGGAAAAATTAGGTTTGAGAGATATATGATAAATGAATAATAATGACCCAAAAACGTATCAATCCACAGAATCCAATAAGGAAATTATATAATCTTTGAAAACATGCTGGGAAATACAGTATGTGAAGTTTTCCTGATAGCAAGAGGATAGTGGGTCACTCTCGGCCCGCTGATGGCAGAGCTGGTGGTCCACTGGTGTTTTGCTCAGCGTTTTCTGGGTGGTCCACCGGTGGTTAAGCAGAATAATAGACAAAATTCCACTTCTCATCACTTACTTTCCACTCACAGTCCAGTTTACTTATTTTCCCTTCCTTTTTTTCTTTAGTTATACTTTGTAAATTAGACTAGTAAATAATTTTAATCTAATACAGAGCCAGCAACAACATTTTCTATTAAATCTTTTTATATTAGACCTAGTCATTATTTTATTTCTCTCAGTTGTTTGTAATATTTGTCTAAGCCTATTTACCAAAATAAAAGTCTTTGTGCATTTAAAATCTGTTTGGGGAGATAAAAAAACTAGATACTCCTTGCATGCAGGACAGTAATCTGGGTGGTCCGAGGGTGGACCAGCAGTGGCAAACAATCAGCGGGCACCGATTTATGCTCGCTGTCTGGGTTGGTCCAAATCAGGATTCGCCCTGATTTGATGTAATGATGAAATGCCAGCTGCACTGCCCAGCAACGTCATTCCAGTGGTCCAAAAATACAGAATTTTTCTTCAAAATGTGTTTTCTTTGGCTTTCATATGAACATACTAATTATAGGTCAGCATAAACATGTCTTTTCCAGCAGTATTAGTGTGATTATATCATGTGGAGTTTTCCTTAATCATAATCTGACAGCTGGATCTCCGACCTGACCGGACGTGATGATTCTCGCTTAAAATTTCCAGGGTTGCTTTGAAAAATTGGTTTCATTACTGGCTTTTATTTTGGAAACCACGTCCTCATTTTCTCACACGAATTTGCGGCTTGCTTGAGCATGCACTAACAACCAATCGCAGCACTACAGGCTTGGCTCTACTAGCCAATCAAAGTGCAGGAGGCGGGGTTTGTCTAAGTGCCATGAACATTCCATCTCAGAACAACATGGGTATAATAGGAAGTGGACACAGTGGGCTCTGCTGTTCTGATGAATTGTGCCACCTTGTCTAAATGGCTGCATATTTTTAGTCAAAGCTCTACACAAAATTGTAGGTAGGATATTTTAATGGCCTAAATTAGGCTTTTAGAAAACACTACCAGGACTGAAATCTAAATATAAGATCATTTGATGGCCTAAATCCCCTTATCAGAAAACGTCACCAGCATTAAAAGAATAATTAGGATATTTTGATCGCTTAAATCCCTCAGGGAGTAAGGAATAATATTGAGCAGAATCTGTACTGAATTAACGTTTAAAACACAATGAAACGTTTGAAACATTACAGGGTGTCCCAAAAAAATTGACATCATTTGAGATGTGAATATCTGAGTAACTACATGTCCTGGCAAATGAAATTAAATAGGCTTCATGTTGAACAACACAAGATTTATTTATCAAAATTCGGACAAGAAATTCAGAGGGATGTAGATTCTATAACCGATTTCAAAGCTTCACAAATGTAATATCTTCTGATACTGGTGGTCGTCCAGGTCCCTTCGCCCTGCACAGACAGCCTTCCTCTTAGAATTGTTTGTACCATGTCCAAATCTGCTTTCCAGTTGGTGCATTTTTTTTTGGTGCATTTTTATTGACTACAAAATGATGTCAATTTTTTTTGGGACACCCTGTACATTACTACACTATAGTAATGATACCTGCATGCTCAGTAGGACCACTCGATGGGTAGGACACTGTTATTGA